TCCTGACTGTTACAGAGTTCTGCTTCTCTAACAGTTGCAGCTTTAGCTTCACTTCATTGCTTTTGCCTTTGCCTTCTAGATAAGATTTATTAGGATACGAAACCACAGCATTAGTCCAGCTTCCTGACAACAAACAATCTAGGGAAAACCCTTCCCAAATGACCTTACCACAAGTCAAAATCTTGTAATATATTTTTTCTAACAATCTCTGACTAAGCCGTTCCACGGCTCCTCATGGCATGTGCTCTCCTTCCCTGCAACATGGAATACACCCACCATGTTCAACTGCAGATATGTTCTGTATCAAACCATTCATATTCTAGAAGTCACTGTATTCTTTTATAACTATTTTAAATTTTCTCATATATCAGGGAGTAGTTCCTTGGTCAGTATTAGAATACAGGGAAAGCTGATCATAATTTTTGAAATTCTAAGAATAAACATAACTATCAAATACACTTCAAACCTGGTGATGTAAATTTTATCATGTCTGCTAAAATCCTTACTTCTATTGTGATTATTTCACATATTTTATAGTTTTTACTCTCCTGCCTTTCAGGACCATTTATTTCCACTCTTTAAAATTAACATTTGAAGACTATCTTTCTTCTTGGTTTTATCCTGATTACGACAGTATGATTTCCTTCACTGACTTGGTTTTGATTTCCTTATGCTATAAAAATGTGTACATTACTTTTTTGAAATGTGTGCATCATCTTAGATACATTTATCTTACCCTGTTTCACTTTTTATCCTGTGTCATAGACTATTTTCTCCTTTGTTTTACTAAATTTCCATCTATAACCAGGCAACTCATGATTAACTGCTTGGAAGTTTCATGTGATAGATTCTCAAATTCTTGAGTGTGAACCTCTGTATTAGTTTCCTATTGATACTGAAAAAAATTACCACAAATTTAGTGGCTTAAAACAACACAAAGTTACTCTCGTACAGTTCTGAAAGTCAAAAGCATGGAATGAATTTTACAGGGCTCAAACCAAGATGTTGGCAGAACTGGTTCCTCCTAGA